AAAGGTGTGGGGCGCCCCTATGATGCCCTCAGTGTAGTATATGGAAACATCACAGCTTTCTTAGGGGCCTGGGGCAGGGTGCTCTCGGTATTGCTTTTCCTTCTAACAGACAAAGATTTCCTGAAGTCATTTCACTGGCTTTCTTGATTCCTAACTAATTAACAACACCTTGAATTGCCTATTTCCAACTGACCCTAGCTTTGGGAGCGCTGCAAACATTTATAGATTACTTCCCCACCATTCTCTGATACCAAAGCACTCACTGTTTTGTTTTTTTTTTTTTTTTTTAATAAAGAAAATGGTAGTAGAAGGATGTCATGTAATTCATGACTCAGTCCATTGGTTTTTATCCTTTTAGTTTATCTAACACACACACACACACACACACACACACAAAATTTCTTTAAGCTGGGGACGGAAGGTGGTGTTGTGGTTAAGGGCGCTGGACTTCCACATGGCTGGCTGTGTTTCAGGCCCTGGACCTGGCAGCTTTCTCACTTTCCCTCCCTCCCTCTCTCTTTCTCTCTCTCTCACTCGCTCACTCACTCCTGTCCCTCTCTGGTCAAATTAAAGTAAGTAAATAAAAAAATCAAGTTAAATAAAATAATTCTTTTAAAATAAATAAAATTTTTCTTTCAGCAAAACTGGCTCCTCTAGGACATTTTTTTCAGTAATCTATTCTCATATTTCATTTAATTTTCAGTTTTAGTATGAAAAATACTATTATTGCTTTCAGTATGCCAGGCACAATGTTAAACACTTCATATAAATTAAGTTTTGGGGTTTTTTTTGGAGAGGTTTTCGCTATAGGGCGCATGCGCTCGCCAGACAGACAGAGAGAGACACAGAGACAGAAAAGCGAGAAATCCCCCCCCAGGAGGGATGGTCACGTTGCAATCCCTTCTCCTCCATTCTCCTCTCGGGATCTTGGGCACACACGCACACGTGCCCGGCATGAGTTTAAGTCACTGGGACTGGGACTCGAACCGCAGTGGACTACATGGGAGTTCAGCGACATAGCCATTATGCTAACTGCTGTTAATATAAATTAAGTTGGGAACCAGCAGTTAGCGTAATGGCTATGTCGCTGGACTCTCACGTAGTCGACCGCGGTTCGCATCCCGGACCCGG